AAGAACAACAAGCAAGTTTTTAACATACTTTCTATTGAAGTTTAAGACTATCTGCTAATTAAAACTCTTTTTAATATCTACTTGCTATATTTTATAAAATTTTAATAAAAAGTGAGAAATTTAGTATACTTTTATCAAAGGATCAACAATAATAATTACTGTCAAAAAAAGAAAAACATATTATATATATATATCTACTTTAGGATAAATAATATTTGATTAGCCTTTAACCCTATATAGCAAAAAATATATATAATTACATTGCAGAAGCTTTGTAGAGTTGCATTAAATTGAAATTTTAAACTTGGATCTCTATTTAAGAATCAATAGTTTTGATAATATTTTTATATTCTAGATATAAACAGTTTATTTAATAGTACTATATAATTTTTATAATTTAGTATGGGTTTAATAGTGCTATTTTTGTTTTTTTTTTTTATTTTTTGTTTTGTTTTTGTATCTGTTTTAATTAGTTTTTATTTGTTGTTTTAGACAGATTAGGATTTAGATATCAAGGTATAATCTTTTTTGTTTTGTTTACTCTTTATATTTGTATTAGTGTTTTTTCTTTTCAAAAGAAAAGTTAATTTGAATATAGGTATATATAAACTCTAGCTAATGAACTAAAAAACCAAGTTTTTAGCAAGTTAGAAATCTAAGAAAAGATCAAAAAATACCAAACAACTATTATATTAGACTATTTGGCTTGATAAACTAATTGTTTAGATAGATATTAGCTATTAAAAATTTTTTGTAATTTTAGTTCAGTTATTATTAATAAAACATAGACAGAATATATTTGTTTTTTCACAAAAAAAAAATTAAAATAAAATAAAAGTTGTAAAAAAGATTATTATAATTCTAATAAGTATAAGATTATTAAAATTGATATAGTAGATCATGAGATATGTATAAAAATTAATTATAATTTTTTAAAGTTTTTTAAATTTTTTAAGAAATATTAAAAAATTGTGACTATTTTTTATATATTTTATGATCTATTAGACCAATTTTAATAATTTTACTATTATTAAAATTACAATAATCTTTTCTACAATTTTTATTAGAAGCTTAGACAAGTGTATTATAATAAAAAAATTAGTTTTAATTAATTAAAACTTGATAATTATTATAATTTTTGTTTTATTTTTAATTCTATTAGTTAATTCAAAGTACAAAGTCATATAACTCAGCTATATTAGCTAGCTAATTATTTTTTATATTGATTAGCTAGTTAGCTAAGCTAGCTTAACTATAGCTGCATTAGCTAGCTTAAAATACTACTAAAGAATATAATACTTTGTATAATTACTAATTTGTAAATCTTTATATTTATATTTTTAATTCTAAATATCTTGGGATTTATTAAGCTGATTTTGATTATTAGAACTAAAAAAACTTTTTTTACAACTTTACTTAAAAGCTCAAGAGATTAGCTTATAAAAAACTTTATTAAATTTTAAAAAATTAATTTTATATTATTTAATTTAAAAGTAGTATATTTAAAATATATTATATATTTACAACTCTTTCTAATGATCATCAAAACACAAATTTTTACAGAAATACAAAAATACAAAACTAACAGAACTTGAGTACAGCTAAGAAGCAAAGCTTATATAACTAAGTAAAAAGAAAAAAGATACAAAACAATACTCTGTCTTTTAGAAGACAAATTGAAAAGTTAAAAACTAACAAGATATAGAAGAAAAACTTAAAAATATAATAGTTTTTATTATTTATAAACAAATTTCTAAAAAGCATTTAACTCTGTAGTGCAAATTTATTGATATAATACAATCATGTAATATGCAACAAAGAAAAACAAAACAAATACATAAAGCAGCACTGATGAGCACAACAATAAAAACAACAATAAAAAAACCAAATTATGTAAAGTATATAGAAAAAAACCTTTTGAAACTAAATATATAGCACAAATTAGAATAGCTACAAGAATTGTAAAAGAAACCTTTTAGATAAATTAGATAAAACTAAAATAGAAGAATACAAGCAAAAATATAGAAAATATTTTAGCAAAGTTATAGAAGAAATACTAGAAGAAAAATATCATAATTTTATTATAAGACACAAAATTGATATAGTTTTGCCAAATACTACAATACAAAAACTCTTAATATCTCTCTTACTTGCAGAAGAAAAATAATATATTAAAAGACTAGATAAATGATATATAAAAAAAACTTAAACAAGTAAAGAAGAAGTAGACAAATCAAAAAAACAGAAGAATATTATAAGAGCTGGCTGAAGAATTCAAAATCAAAATAAAGAAAATATAAGAAAAACAGTTAAAGAAAAAGAGAAAAAACCAAAAATAGCTAATAAAGACAGAAACAAGAAAAAATATAGAAAAAGATATAAAAGGTATCAAAATGAAGAAAGCTTTAGAAAAATTAACAAAAAAACATAATATAGAATAATTAGAGCAAAACAAAGCATAAAATTAGGAAGAATAGAAGTTATAGGAAATAGGGTGGGTCTATTACTTGTATATTTTGTAAAGACCCTGTAACCCAAACAGAATTTTATAAAAGTGACAACAAATTGGATCCACAATATATGATGATCCTTATATAAGACCCACCGTATAGTGTACCCTCCACCATCCTGATGGTGTGAATCAAAACAAACTTGTGTTACGGGTAAACTGACACCACCAAATGTTACGGATAAAATGAAGATAAAGCAACTCGCCAGAGGCGTGACGTTAGTGATTTGGTCAATTATCCGGGATTTGGGTTTTATTATCGCCTATTTATAATCACACAATTTGGATCATAGTAATTTTTTTAGAAAAGTGCTTATGAAGAGATAAGTTTATATAGAAGGTTTGTAATAGTTATATCCTGGGCAGTTTGGTATAAGAGGAATTTTGCAGTAAGTATAATCGGCCGCGTAAGCGGCCGGTTATACTTTACTATAAAATTTCGCTTATATCCAACTACACAAGATATAACTGATTTATCCCCTGCCATCTATGTAGCATAACTTTCATGTACTTATTTTAGAGCGAAGCCCTTACTTTACGCATTTGTTTTTGACATTTAAGATTAAATAGGATAGTACCCAACTATCTAAATTAAATAGATATATGTCCAGTAGAAATAAGTACATGAAAAAAGTTACATAGATGGGGTTGACCAGGGGATAATAAAGAGGTATGACTGTAGTAATCCTATGTGCCCCTACCTCGCATATAAATGTCACAACCAACCTTACCCAAGTTCTGAAGTTACGTCCTTTTAATAACTTTAAAAGACTAATAGAGACTTAAACATAACTCACCTGTTTTTTTACTTTGACTCATCTTTTGTCATAATCTTTGGCCAAACGAGCCTCATATGTTATCCAAACCTTTAACATTTCATCATTGAGGCATGATTTATTATTATTTCAGAAATGTCCCTTTTAGCCTGTGACAACTATAAGAGATCGGGTACTCCCCATGGAGAAATATGGCATATCATCTGCAAAAACTTGCGAATTTTGTGAACTGTTGCGATCTTAAGGAACATATATACAAATAAACCTTTGAAATGGGTGTCGCCAAATGAAAACCAGGAATTCTAAAAATAGATTTCTATTAGACGACGGAATGCGGGCTTTTAACCGATCTTACTAGAATAATAAATTATGCTGTTTTTTGATCACATCTTAGTATCATTTAAAGTCCGTATTCCGTTGTCTAAAGAAATCTATTTTTAGAATTCCTAGTTTTCACTTGGCGGCACCCAAATGCATATTCCATAAATCGAGTCTCGACTCGTCTGCATTGGTCTATCGCTATAATCTGCGAAACGTCCAAATATGGAAATGATTTTCAATCTTGTTTCGTCATTTTAACCAATCAAATTAGTGTATTATTTGTTAACCAATCAAATACATAGCAAATTTCAAAACATGTTTGTGGGATTAAGATTTAGAAAATATTTTGTATAGCAAGGCGAGAGCTTCAACTTACTTAATACGCTTATCTCTTTTAATAAAAAGTTATGTTACCCAGTTTTCCAAAAAAAAGTATCATAAAGTGTATAAAAATTTTCTTTATAATTGTGTAACTCAATCTGTATTGAAGACTTAGCTGATAACTTGGTTATCAGGCATGTTTAACGTAAGCACTGAATGATTTTGTATAACTTACTCTACATCTTTAATTAATACGAAATTAAACGCTCACAATGTTATCTGAAAACATAATATCTTAAGCTTCATTTTATATGGAACATAATAAATCACAATTTATTACAGTATATAGATGTTTTTGTGAGAACGTGAAATTAAACTTGAATTTTATACATTGCTTCTAATACATATATATATATTTTTAGTCATCTCGTAAAAGGTAATTAAAAAAATTTGTGGACAGTTAACTCTCTAAACCAAATCTGAATAAATTGAACACAATAAACCTTGTCTAAATGGTATAATTATAAATTTGATTATAAAGTTCAATTTAAATATTAAGTATACTTTTAAACCGTATTTTTGATAAGCTCTGAGTATTCTATATAAAGAGAGTCGATTGAATTTGTATTGAGGTGTTGCCAAATAAGTTATAATCATTCAGTGACCACATACTGTAAGATATATCAAATAAGACAAAATTTTATGATTAATCAAATATGTTAGCGTCAATATTGAGACAATTCAATTCAGTAAACAAAGAATTATGTAAATTTAACGCCATGATACCATAATATTCGCATATTTATTTATTTATTACATAGAAACAGCATAAAAAGGAGGCAGGAACCGTATCACGTGATTATACAGTCAGTGAAAATTATCACATTTCCACCTCCCCATATATAATGAAAATATAAAAATCTTAAAGGCTAAAATTTCTTATTGTTGTTATTACACCATAATACTAAAGAAACATAATTTTAGTGATATCACTTATTATAAAAACATGTAAAACGGCATATAATAAAAATAAACTCATAAATAAAAATAGAAAATATCGTTAATATTAACGCTTAATAAGGTGGGTTATTAGGGTTCATAGAAAAAACATTAAAATTGTATTCGAAAGGGATTTGCGGGATGATTTGATGAAGTTGATTATGATCTGGGAAAATAGTCGAAAAACCGGTAAAGTCAAGTTGCTGATTCGAAATCAAATTTCCATAATTCTCATTCGAAATTTGTGTATTAAATGGAGGAATTTGAGGCATTATTGTTGTTTGAGTTTCTACCAAAGGCTGAACGACAACATGTTGTTTACGAGCGGCAGCTGCTTTTGCATTCTGGCGTAATTCGATAGATAATCTTTCAACTTCCTGAGCGATTTCTTTATACGCGTTTTTAACGAACAGAGGTTGTCGTTTCCAAGAAGCGCTAATAATTGGTGATATATCAGTCATCTTGACTTTACAATTACGAGTACGTACTTCATCAAGGAAAGCACCACGATAAATAAAGAACGAGTTCGGAGATTTCGAATGTGCAGGGGTTTGGAGACGCTTTTCTACGAGGCGTGATACGGAAACTCTTGGTGGAAAGGGAACTTGGATTGACGTTGGGTCCATGTTGTTTAGGTTGTTAAGTATCTCCATGGAATCTATTTGGACGCTAAGAAGATGGGTTTATATAAATAAATGCGAATTTGGCGTAGTACAGCATGAAGACGAAGCATATGAACACAGGAGTTTCGGAACTTAAAGAGTGATTTATTACTTAGCTTTCATTTGAGATATAACTAGAAATTAGGAAAAGCATCATATTTCATAAAGGCAAATCAACTTTTGTCTAATAAGTCATTCAATTAAATTTTTTTAATGACTCAATTCTAAAAATAATAACAAATAATAATTACTAATTGAAATTCATAAGATAAATGCGGTAAACTAAAAATTTGTATGTAAAAAAGCATTCGAGAAAACGCGTAAAATGGCGGAATAATTAATTACATTCCTTTAATAATGATCATGAATAACCCACGTTCGTACATCGACATCACGTCACTTTTCACAAATGACGACTACGAAAACTAGCTACGCATTGAACGTATACCGATTTCGGTTCCCTTATTTTCCATAATAATCTCGATTTCTTATACATATATGTATTCCTATGTGTATGCGAGATATTCTTTATTGCGTATTCAATTTATTACAATTGTAAGTTTTCGGAAATTTGATTTTACGATTATCGGACGATAAGATTGTTTTGTAATGTAATCAGCTAAGATATTTTACTGTAATTGGTTTTACCACGAGCCCATCCCAAGGGCATTTCATCGGAGAATACATTCAAAATGCGCAGGCGGCAAATGAATACCCGCCAAATAAGAAAATCTTGCTTATAAAGATTTCTGTTTATATTATTTTTGTTTATCAGTATTCATATCTATGTTATGTATCATTAATTCTATGGAATACTCTTTCAATAACCATTTTGAAAAGAATCAAAATGGTTTTTCCAAACCTTAAAATTATCGTAGCTCCCAAAACATTGATCTGTATCGTGTAATACCAAAAAGAATAAAATTGCACAATGACCGGATTTTGGATTCCGAAGGCTACCTTTTCATTCCAACAACCCCAACATCGAATAGAGAGAATCCAAAGAATCACTATTATCTTCAATCGCAAAACATACTCCTATTAGGTACGTGTTTTTATAAACAAAGATCAGCATATCATTCCTTAAATGTCACATAATCCCAGTTTTTTTTTATTTGGACAATCACCATCAATTTCTGCGGTAAAAGAGTTACCAAGTTGGATATGTTTTAAAGCGGCGTCACTTACTTCCACCAAAAGGAAATTTTTCGATATAGATCACAAGATCAGGTGAACGTGTAACTTACATTAAACTTTATTACAGTATTAGTATTGTAGAATTACATCACTTACATATATAAGTAAATTTTTCGTGGTTATCCTTACCGGCAAGTATTGGATCGCCCTAGCCATGGTGAAATCGGTAACCACCGCGGTTAACGGTAATTTATATCTCGCCATTACCGTTACCGTTACCGCTACCGTTACATTTTAATATAAATTTAGTAGTGTATATGTAAAAAAAAAATTCATAACACCCATGTTATATAATACCCTATTATATGTTAATTATATAAACTGGTTAGAGTAAGTATATGGGTGAGTACACAGCAAAACCATGCTTAGAGTATATATAATCTATATACTCTTTAGGCATGGTTTTGCTGTGTGCTCACCCATATAGTTTAGAATATTATATACTGTATATTTAATAGTATGATATATTAGGTGTTATATAACATGGTGTTATGAATATAACTTTCCAAAAAAAAAACATTTTTTTTTGTTTACAATCATTCTCATAAACTAACAAGATCGCGCTCATCACCTTATGTTCAAGTGAAAGTTCATTGTTACTACGCTTTCGCTTATAATTATCGAATCTCACATTCTGAACAGATACAAAGCAGCCAATAATTGAAGTTATCTGTAAAAATACCCATTGTCAAACTTTAAATTTAATGTGCCAGCTTCTGTGCCCGCAGGGACCCAGAAATGGTACATTAAATTTAAAGCCAGATAAGTAAGTTTTTGACATGTGGCATTCAGCAACGGTATTATCCGATAGCTTACAAAGTTTTTTTTTTTGGCAGTAATTATGTTATCACACATAACGAGGTTATTTGTGATAACGTAATTACCCAAAAAAACTCAAGTCATTCTGGTGAAGCTATAAGGAAATGTACAAGTTTTCAAGAATCCATTAGGATTTCGGGATAGGCCTCATCGTCAGCAATAAAAATATTGACGATTTGATAGTATTCCTATTCAAAAATCGGGTTTAAACCCG